GACCAACACCTTGATCGAAATCATACCTAGATAATTCACCAAGGCTTGAGACTTAATCCAGAGGTTTTTTGGGTCCAATCAAAGCTACCAAAATCATCTGATTGAGGCCTCCCCTCTCAGACAAAGGTATTGAACCTCAACCCTAATCCGAGCTTATTTTGATTCTCCATTTGTAATGGATTTATTTCATACTTAATTAACCATATAGATGTGTTCATCTTGAGTAGATGAAGGTTTAGAAATAAACCCCATGCAATTTAGTTGAGTTTAGCTCGAGATCTTAAGGTTTTAGTGGGAACGACTTACAAGTTAAGTCACTTAAGGACGATAACGGAGAGTCGTCCGATCGCGCTCATTTATTTCATCAATGAAGGAGATCAAGCCGGATCAACTCTCGATGCAAGAAAGCGGGCCATGTGGCATGACAAGATGGAAAGCGCAGTGAATGAGAGCGCACCACATGTGAGTTCGTAGCCGCCGCAGGATGAGTTGGCACCGCGTGGATAAGTAGAAAAATAATGATTTTCTGAATTATTTTAAATGCCTAAACTTCAAAAATTCATATCTTTCTCTTGACAAATCTTACAAAATAAAATAAAAATACCCACTTGTTCAATGAACAGAGGAGAATAATGTAGACTAAAAATAAAAATTATTTTCTCCTCAAAATTGAAGCCAAACAATAGAATAAATTGGGAAGTCACCAAGGTTCTCCTCTGGATCTATGACATCCCATAGTTCTTCCTCCTTTGGACTCTAAAACAAAATATTCCAAATTTGATTCATTCTCCTTTCACACCTCTTTGTCCGATTTCGTTGAGAAGTCATATCATTTTAATCTCATTCAAGATAATATTCCCTGATTTTTATCGAGAGTTTTCTTAGATGACTTCGGTTATCTAAGATGTAATTAACTATAGGGGCTTGCCCTTATAGGAAGCTTTTTTGAACCCAACTTAATATAAACTCTATTTAATTCTTCATATTGAATAGGAGAACTTGTCGGCAATCAAAATGGTTTCGCAAACCAAATTGATGTCATATACTTCTTAGTTTATTTGATCGAGCCTCATTCTCAAGTCCTGTATTTATCTTTTGGGATAGATACAGGGTTTGAGGTATAATGTTTTTTTATTTAAATTATGAAAAATATGGGGTCAGTTTGATTTCATATTTTTCTAAACTTATTGTGTGTGTGTGTGTGTGTGTGTGTAAATTGAATGCATTTCTAAAGCGGGTGACGGGATGTCGATTCCAATGACCAACAGCTTCTAACGGGCAACTCCAACCAAAAATAGTACTTATAGCATCTGAACCCACTTGAGGAGTGGTGCACGTTCACTCAGGTACATGGCTCTCACTGAGCTTGGGTCATGCTCCTTTGCCTCTGAACCCATATTGCACATGAGTCATATTGCTCATCACCCATGACAACACCCTCACTTTCACCAGTATGTTCTATGGCTTAAAGTATGTGTCTACTTGTTTACATGGTGCACCATACCTTAAATGTGCATACATTTACATGTGTGTTTGGTCGTTATTGAGGCAAGGTGTAATTCTCCCGTGTGGTGTCCTATACCCTAGATGACCAAGCAGATTATCATTTATGAAACATGCTCTGCATGTGCTTCTTTGCATTGTCGATATATTCACCACTAGCATATGCCACAATATAATTGTGACAAATATTTGCTATTGTGTGATCGCTTTAGTCGCAACAAAGTGATTATGACACACTGGATCACTTTACATCTTCATGTGCAATTAGTGATTCTCTCGATGATGAAGCTGGCTTATTAGCTGAGTGACTCTCTGGTGGTCGTAATGCATTAGCGAGTGTTGCCCGCGAGGATGTTTCGATGGGAAATACCATCTCTCGCACCATGACTAGCATGCGTATGTTATGCTAAGATTCTAATGGGTATAATATGTGCCATTTAGGTTATTTCCTTCTTAGGACCTATTTTTAAAATATAAGAAAATTACATTTTTATTAATTTTATGCATCATATTTTTAAAAATCTATTTTAAAAACTATTGCATATAGTTTAGACCATACATGAGGTCAACATTTTAAAATTTTTTGTTCATATGAAAACTTACATCTAACGACACATCTTAGAATCCTTGGATCTTTAAGATGTTTTTGAAAACGACGACCACATCAAAACATACAACAGTCTTTTGCCCACTTTTGCCCACACCTCTATACACACTTAGATGCTATGACTATGACACTATACATTAGATGGTGTGCTAGGCTAGGACTAGAGTGCTAGGTAGTCTTTTTGATGTCTTGGTCATAGTTCTTTGTTGATTTAATTTCCTTAGTCATACATAATTTTGTGTGCGACTTTGTGTGTGTTTACTAGAGTGTGAGACATGCACATTAGTATGTGAGGGGCAGTTTTTGTGTGGGGAGTCATGTCCAATATAGAGGGACTGTCATGATTTTATTTGACACAGTTTCTATAGGTGATGTATAGTCTCCCTCCCACTAGGCATGCTTAACTACGTTGCATGTAGATAGGTGTTAAAACTAATCTAATTTTCATGTAGGTTGACTTTTTTTTTTACTTTCTCATGTACTTTTTAGAATCCCTAGGATCGAGTCTGTTCAAAAATAAGGTATAGGAATGAGTTCTGAGATGCCTGACATTGGAACCACGTGACGAGGACTAGGAGCAACAGGCTCTTGCCCCGTACCTTAACTCTAATATCTCATTTATGTATAACACTAGGACTAGGTGTGTATATGCAGTGTCTGGTTGTCTTTTGCTTTTCTTGGATATGTTGCGGATCCAGCGACATTTGAGCATTTTATTTATTTGGCTTTCTTTTCTTACATTTAAATAAAATATATTTTCTCCTAAAAAATCCATATCTTTATAAAAATAACAGGGTTCATTTCTTTTGACAGAGACTATGTCTTCTGATTTTTCCAAGGTCAGAGGACATTCCTATGCTTCTAGCCCTAATTTTCAAGCTAGAGTGACCATTTTGGCTTTTTTTAATTATATAAATCAAAAAATCACTTAGCAAATTATAATTTTAATAGGTTTCCTATGGTTAGAGAAGTCTAGAAAAAATATTGTGATGCTTTGAATAATTTTTTTACATTTCTATACTTAATTAAATGCATATAGCTTATATTAATTTATGTAAATTATACATTTATAAAAAATTGACAAAATCACTTCCTCACTATTCATATAAATCATGTTTACTCACTATAAAAACATCAAAATTATTTGACTTAGTCTAAGCACTAAAATGAATTTTTAAGGAAACCTTTTATTCTTGTATAAAAATAATTATATTAAATTAAATATGCTTAGAAAAATTATGAAAGTTACTTTTCTGAGTTCCTTGTGATCAGGGGCATTTTATAAAAATAAAATCCATTTTTGTGAAAATATTTCATTTTTAAAATACATTTTGAATTAAAAATAATTAAAAAAAAGCAAAATTTTCAAAATACAAAAAATGGTTCAAAATAAGTAAGAATGTCTCTTGATCACTTAGAATTCATTAGGACATTTTTCCTAATTTTTCTAAGTTAAACATATTTTCCCATTAAGATAATTATAATAAATAAATTAAAAATCACAAAAACACAAAACTTGGTTCTCTGAGTTTTCTGAATTCAGAAAAGTCTATTAAAAATATAAAAATGATTTTTGTAATTAAAACATTATTTTCTATTTAATTTAATCATTGAAACTGATTTAAAATTAAATAATAGTAATAAAATTTAATTAAAAAAAAAATCATGAAATCTTGCCTAGGTGTTTCTCTGACCTTAGGAGAACTCTAATAATTTTCCCATAAATACAAACTTTTTTTTGAATAATTAAATAAATTAACCTTTGAAAATCCTATCTTATAAATTTAAATAATTATCTAATTGAAATTAAAAAAATTAAATTAAAATTTTGAGAGGTCCACATGCTCTCCTCTAACATTATAATTACCTCATGAATATGACACTTTAAACCATCAAAGTCATTTGAGTTGTGTTTAATGAGTTATGAGGTAAAGTGCCCCAAGGGTAACATTGAAATTTTAGACTTTGGTGCCCTAATCAAAATTTAGGATTTAACCAAGGGAAAATGGGTGATTTTGATCTGAATAAACATATCTCAATGTTTGAAATACAACGGGATTAAAAGGTAGAAACTCACTCAGTACCCTTGCACAACATCAACAAAACCATAATCCTCCTAATCTTCATGACTTGGAAGTTAGCTAAGATGGGACGATTCTTAAGTGATGGGCTTAAGTCAGAAAGATGGAAATTCACTTTTCTTAA